CTGAGAGAACTTCGGACGTGAAATGATAAAGAAAAATCCAAAGGTGATAGGTTCGTTAGGTTGGCGGGTTGATATACATAACTATACATACACGTCACTCAAGGTGGAAAGTCCAGCAAGCTCTCCTAGCAGAATCTCTGGTGCAGTCCATTTGATTGGCAAACGTCCCTGGAAAATCAACCGATAAATGATTTCCGTACAAAACTTATGTCCCTTTTTTTTTCAAAGCCATCTTTAAAAAATATGAAGCTACATAACGTAAATATGTTAAAATGTGAAAAGAAAGCTACATTTGTCGTTCACTTATCGGTCAATCCAAGGTTAGCCTTCATAAAGCGGTCACGGAAAACAGAAAATGTACCTTCTTTCGCGAGACTTTCTACGAAAAAAAGTTAGTGAAATTGACAAATCCCGATGCCCGGAGTACCTATCCTGTTAAATAACTAACTCTGTTTTGTTTTGCTTTTTTCTTGTAAGTCAAAGTGAGCTATGAAACCCTGGTGATAGTCCATGTACATTAACTTTATATAGAGAATATGCTAACGCTTACAACTCGTTTCCAAAAATAACCGCACTGAAGCAACAAAAAAAGTGTTTTCTACCTTTTTGGCATTTCCATGGCCATACTTGAAGCTTTGATATGCCATACCAAAGTCCGTCACTTTGCAAACATAGTTGTTATCGAGGAGAATGTTTCGAGCCGCCAGGTCACGATGGATAATCTACCAGAAGATAAGAAGCCAGAATATAAAAGTTGAAAAACGATAGGTTTTTATAGTACAGCGGCGAAGCAAACATCTGAGTATGTTTGAACGAAAAAAAGGCTCAAACTAAGGTAGCCCTACATAATGTTGTGATGCTGACAAAACCAAGATTTCTACTTTCTTTATCAAAAAAATTGGATTTTTTTACAACAGTGAAAATAACGATAATGATAATAATGATAAAGATTATAGTCATAACCATGCTAATAATCATAATAATTATGATAATAAAATGAAATTTAGAAGTAGTAAACCAACAGAGGACCCTTTGTGTTTCAAAAAAGAAAAAGACAAAATTAGTTAATCTTTACCTTTGTTTCTTTTACAGATTTCTAAGGAGTTCCATTTTTACCTTTGTTTTGTTTTTTTTTTAGGTGTCGCAATAAGGTTTTATATATGTATATACATCGCTCTACTCCTATGTATTGAGCACTGTTTTACGAAAGTCAAATTTATATATATATGCGCTATCAGTGCATACGCGACCTTTGACAATTGCATGGGTCTGTTTTTTTACGCTTAATTTTTTACACCATCCCAGATAATCATAGCTGGAATTTTTTGAGGCGCGGGAACCGAATTATTATCAACCTTATTTTCGTTTCTTTTGGCTCTTTTTTTTGGCATCTGCGCTGACCTACTAATGTCAACAAAGAGGTTTATCTAAGCCAAAAGCACTCATAAATGTTGGCCAAAATCCGAGCTATTGAAAAATAAAAAGTTTAAATCTCTGAAAGATTTTTCTGAGTTAGAATTGACATGTGACAAGTATTCTACTTACACCTCGCGTTCCAAGGAACACCATGCCGGCGGCGATTTGCTTGGCAAACAACACGAGATCGTAGTTGTTCAAATCCTGAGCTCTTCCCTCGCCAAGATAAAACCGATCCCTCACTCCTCGGCATTTTCTGAGGTAACCAAGTAGGTCACCACATGGCAAGTACTCCATGATGAGTATGGGGTGAACTTAAGTGACGTATCAAAGATAAAATTACTGATGGCTTTCTTCATAAAGCAGTTTAGCTTACATGAAGGACTCATTCTTTTAGGATCTACCTTCATCAGAATTTACTTTAAAAAATTTGCAACAGGTTAAAGGGAGAAAGCCGGTTAGCCCCGTTAACGAGATTTCAAGCTATCCAACCGAAATCTTAATGAACTGTCGATGGATACATACTCTCGAAGAGAAACAGTCTGTTTGCCACACAAAAAAAGACCAACTTGGCTCCATTAACATCCGAGTTACGGATCTCATGTTAAGAGCTCTCAAGAGGGTTCATCAGCATTTATAGTATCGTTAATAACAT